AGAGTGGTCTGATCTCCTCTGCTCATATTAAAATCGTGAGTCTTGTTTAAAGCAAACAGCAGCTCACCATTACCTCTGATGAGTAAGGACCCATGAAAGTAACTGAGTTGTTAAAACAAAGCCTTGAATCCTAAAGACAGTCAAAGTATCACTTGTTGATCGTTTACTTTATATTAGCCTCCAAGATAGTCACTCATTTACTCTTATCCTCATAACAAAGATGTGCAGTAAATACCATTTTATAGTGGAAGAAACTAAAGCTCCAAAGGGTGAAGTGTCTTCCCCGAGGTCCCATGACAAAGCAGAAGTACATCCAGGGATGAAATAAACTTAGCCCAACACCAAAGTCTGCATTTTTTCAACTGAACTACAGGGCCTCATTCCCGATTTACCGACACTTTTATACCATCTGGCACCAATCACTGTATCTGGTACCTACCATTTTTGGTAGTGTATGTGTATTTACAATGTATTTTCAATATGTGCTTGTGCTCAGTTGCTGTCGTGTACAACTCTTCACAATCAATATATTTTCTTCTATTTTTAAGAGTAGATTTGAGTAGGAAAATCTTTATAATGGAGTCTATGCAGTTATTAAAATTTTTTGAAGATCTATATTTATAGACATTTATAGATACAAAGAGATGTTCATCATATATTTTAAATGAAGTAGCTTACAAAACCATCTCAGGGATTGACTTCATAGTTTATATTTCTCTGCACCATTCTTGTACAATAAGTATTGAACATTTACTATTCTTTTTAAAAGAATTTTAAAGGCGAGAATAAGAAAATTGTATCAATATATGAGATCTTTGGGCATGATAAAAGTACCATTTTATTAGTGGACAAAAGAGAAATTATTCAAATCATGGGATATAAAAAATTGCTTAATTATTTGAAAAAACTCAAATGGATCAAAATTTTAAATACAAAAATACAAAGAGGAAACATAAAAATACTAAAAGGAGAAAATACAGTTAAATATTTATTTAATTAGGAGAGAGAAGATTACTTACAAAGCATAATACCAAGACAGAAACAATCATAGAAGAAAAAAGTTTATAAGATTTCAACATATAAAACTTCAAAACATCTATATAATAAACTATATCATTAATACATGGAAAAATTTGAAAATATATAAAAAGAAATCTAACAAATCTATATTTTAGAAGACAGTCAATAGAAAAATAGATTAAAAATAGGAATAAGTAATCCTGAATCACAAATAACATAAACATATAAAAATTGTTAACATCACTAGAAAGCAAATTATTTCTATTTTTGTTTTTTAAAATAATATTCAAATCTAGGACTTAAAATAAGCACTCTAATAAAGTCACAACAGGAGTGTAAAACTGGTACAAGTTTTATGGAGAACAACTTAGATGTATATAGTAAAAGAAAAAAATGCATATTCTTTTGAATCAGCAATTACACTTCTAAAAATGTGTCTAAGAAAATAAGAATGTATACTAACTAAAATTTAGCTAAAATAGTTCCCCATCATTGCAGAATAAAATCCAAAGTTTTTCTCAATGGCATAGGAGTCCTGCATGATCTACTCTAGAGGCCTACTTTGAACTTATCCACCTGCCCTGAAGTCACAGGGTTGCAGCCACACTAGCTGGTTGGCTATTTCTGGAGCTCACCAAGTTCCTGCCTCAAGGCCTCTCCTCTCCTCACTGCCATCTTTTCTTCCTTTTTGCTGGAAGTGCACTTTGGTTTAAAACTGATCTCCTCAGAAGATCTTTATCAAAATGGCTATTTTTAACCACTTTTTAAAAAACAGAATCTTTTCTAACCAGCCTTCATTTTCTCTTCCTTTAACCTGCTTTATTTTTTTTTCAGTGTACCAGCTGTCACTATATTATCTATTAATATCTGTTTATTATTTATCTCCCCCACTAGAATGTCTATTGGGACAAAAACTGTTTTCTTCACCACTCGATTCTGAGAGTCAACTCCTGGGTAGGTTGATAAGAAGTCCAGGGTCCCCAAGGAGGAGAAAGGGGTCCAGAGTCCTAGGGAAGAAAAAAGGGGTCTGGGGCTCTCAAGGAGAAAAAGACAAATTTATTTTCTACATTGCTTTGTTTTAGTCAGTATAACAATGTATCTTGCTCGAGGACATATTTCTCCTTAACAAGAAGGTTTTCTGACTAACCTTGTTATCTCAAGACTTCTGTTGTGGGAGTGGGTCTGGTAAAACCTTTCTGTTGTTAGTTTCATCTTGTTAATTTAAGATATATATTGTGGGAGTGAGTGATCTAGGGCTCTCTAGGAGAAGATAGGGGTCTGGAGTTCTCAAGGAGGAGAAAACAACAAACATTTTTTTTTCTTTAAGCCCAGAACTGATGATTGAACAACAAAACAATTCATCTTGCTCAAGGATATGTTTTCTCTTAAACTCTGTACCAATGATTATATGACAACCATGCATCCTGCTTGAGGACTGTTTCTCCTTGAGAACCTGCTGACTAATCCTGTCATCTTAAAAATGTATATTGTGGGAGTGGGTCTGGTAAGATCTTTCTATTGTTAGTTCTAATCCTGTTATCTTAAAATGTATATTGTAGGAGTGGGTCTACAACCTTGAGACATTCTTTTGATTTCCTGTAATGACCAAGTGAAAAAAGTATATAACTCCCTTTCTAAGACTAGCAGAGGGCACTCTCGGTCCCCTTCTGATGTCTATGTCAGAAGCTTTTTCTGTCCCTTTTTCACATCAATAAAACTCTGCTACACAAAAGCTCTTGAGTGATCAAGCCTGGTCCCTGGTCCGAAGCTAAATCTTCTTCGGAGATCATGAATCAGTGGTTCACCATAAGCTATCAATTCCAAGCACCTAGAATAATGCTTGGAGGTACCAAATAAATATTTATGAGATAATTAGGTGAATGACTTCAAGGAGATATGTTTCAAGTTCTCATGTAAACACCATATTTAGACCAGGGTCTGCTCTAAGCTATAGAATATTTCCTGAGGTCAACACCAAAAATGGATGTTATAATAAAGCAGGTGGAATAACAACATCATATTACTCAACGTGATACCTGATGTAGGTTATTATCAACAGTCCTGGGGTTCCCCAATCGCCAAAAGCTCCCCATCTCTCATCTCACTATCATTTAAGACCTACATGCACCTTGTTGTTGTTTAGTCACTTCGTTGTGTCTCACTCCTTTGCCACCCGGAGGATTGCAGCTCACAGGCTCCTCTGTCCATGGGATCCTCCAGGCAAGAAAACTGCAGTGGGTAGCCATTTCCTTCTCCAGAGGAATCTTTCCAACCCAATGTCTCCTGCACTGTGAATGAATTCTTTACCACTGAACCATCAGGGAAGCCCACATCTACCTTATTGAAACTTAAAGTTTTCCTAAGAATTTATTAACAGATCTAACAGACATTGTAAATTGTTCCCATGAGGAAAAGTCAGTTATTTCAGTCTATGAGCACATCATTCACTTTAACGAGTAACAAAACATTTCTTGGTATGCAGCCCTGTAACACGGAACGGTATTCTGATTTACTACAGCCACTAGTGATTTCCCATTGCCTTAATTTAATCAGGAAAATGAGGGAGGAGAGACACTGCAATATAAACACAAGCATCCTCAAAGTATGGGTTAGTGAAGCCTTAGGCTACCAAGGTCCATGTCATAAGCTGTTTGTTAACTAAAAATAGTTTAAATACTTAAGTTTGAGAATGACTTACTTAAAAATAAATAAATAGACAGGACCATGGTCAGTGTCATTTACATTTGTTTCTTTTCTGATACACATTCTTGAAAAAGAGCTAATGATACCAGATCAGAAATCTGCATAACAGTCAATTGTCCCGTCATTTAAGTAAACTTTGAATTATATTCCTGACAGCCAACTCCAGTGGTTTGAAAACACTTGATTTTTCAAACCACCAGGAGAAGTGTCACACAATACAGAAGGCTATGAAGTCAGGCCAGGCTGATTTAGAATTCCATTTATGTCACTCTAAGTTGCTGTGTGATCTTGGGTACATTCTCTAACTTCTCTGGGCTCCATAATTCATATCATCCATAAAATGCAGAGAAGAAGACTTACTCTTTAGAGTGGCAGAAACGGAATTCTATACCAGCCTGGCCTGACTTCATAGCCTCCTACACTGTGTGACACTCACCCTGGAGTGTTTGGGAGGATCAGGACAATGCGTGCCAACCACTTATCAAGTACATCTTGTCCCAAGCAAAGCCATTAAAGATGTGCAGCGGATGCAAGGAAAAAACAGTGGGAAGTGGCAGTCTGTTTGCAAACCTCTACCCACAGGCAGCCAAACAGGAAAACGTCCTCCATAAGAAGTCTAGAAACTGAAGCATCTATTGGGACACACACACCACATCACATGCACTGCAAGGAAACAGCATCTTTCTTCATATCCCACCAACCAGCCTTAACAATTATTTAGCCTTTACACTAACACGGACAATCCCAACCTTACACTTGCGGGTCTCATTCTCAGCCTATGTGCTGCTGTATCAATTCCACATCTGACCCTAAAAGCCAAAATGAAAAACTAAGGCATCACTGAATATAGTTAACACTTACTTGGCAAAACACTATCGTCCCCTGCAGTGTTCGGGTAGTTGGAACACTCAACCCCCGCCTCAGGCTCCGTCAGTGACATGTCCTTTCTAACGCGCGCTTCAGCGGAGAACCACGGCAATAACACTGCCAGAATAACTGCCCGAAGCTCCGCTTTCCTGAGTTACTGCGGCCCCAGTGAGGGGGAGGGGCTCAGTCTCCATCTAGCCCGGACCGCAGCGGTGCTCTTCGCCAAGAGTAGACACATTGCCTCACCACCCTCCCCCCACGCCCAACCCCTTGCAGACCACAAGAAGCAAAGCGGAAGTGCCAAACCCAGAAGAACGCCGGGCTCGGGGGCGGCCAGACTGTTCCTGGGTCCCTCTCACCGCGCGAGGGACCTGGGCGCAGGTTCCTGGCGGAGCGGCCGCACACAGTACCTTGATGATCCTCTGGTGGAACAAGGCGCTGTGCACACAACCGGGAACCGCCGCGGGCAGCTGCAGCGAACCGTTCCCGCTGTGGATCTTCCAGTTTCCCCGCAAGCTGATGCTGACCACCCCGGTAGCGAAGCCCGCCCCGCACGGCGCAAGCAGCAGGAGCAGGCGGAGGAGCATGGTGTTGGCGGGTACCCGAAACACGCACAGAGCAAGAACCCGAGGGATGCGGGGGACAGCGGAAGCCACGCTAAGCCAGAGCTCTAGCTGACCCCGCCCCGGGGCCCGCCCCCGGCTCCCGCCCACGCCCCCGATTGGCGGCCACGCCCCCAGGTCAGCTGAGCTGCGGGCTCCGCGGCCGATCCCCAGCTCCGCCGGCTCGCTGACAGCGCGGAGACCGCGCGGTTTGGCGGAAGCCTGCGGTCGCCAGTGCGGGAGCCGCTGCACCTGTGCGCCGCTCCGGGCTCGGATCGCTCTGGGCTCTGCGTCCTCCTCGGAGCTTATTCCAACTGCTTCGGCGTCTGAACGGAAGGCGAGAGCCATGCACGGTAATTGGGACACACAAATCTCTGGGCGCAAAGTGGCGCACAGCCTTGGGGAGCTCAGGGACAAACAGTAGTGTGAGACTACAGCCAGAGACTCTCCAAAGAACAGAAAAGCAAGACACCCCATCGCTTCAGTTTCCCCCAGTTTCCCCAGACCCTCGTCCGAGTTGCAGGGGTCTCCCCTGAGCGGGTAACGCGCACCTTTTGCCTGCTCTACAGGTTGGTCTCAAGAATAGTCTGCGCAGTAAACAAGTGTAAATACTAAAGTACCTATTCTTAGGGTTGTTGTGAGAACTGAGAAAATTCGTGTACAGCGTGCAACATAGGGCCCAACCCAAAGAAAACAAATCACGTTGGCCTGATGTTCGTGGACTACCACCTTCTGTTTTGTAAAGTCACGCAGAGGAGGCTCCTGACGTTCGGGAAACCTGAACTAAAATGCACGGGCAAATTTAAAATCCACTGTCGCTCACTAGCTGTGGGACTTAGGCAAGCCACGCAATTTCTAATACCCCTATTCCTTGAACTCGAAAATGAGTTAACATATTTGGCTATCCCTAGGAATGCCACGGTACCCAAAAAATACCACAGGTTTATGTCAAGTCTCATGGCGCGCAGTTTACCTTAGTCCTAATTTTGCAATTGGATGTAACTGTGATCTGGGAAGTTAAGAAGGAATTTCACATTGCATAAAATAGACTGACATATGACTGTTTTGATGTTATCTGCCTTATTTCTACATTTAAGCAGAGGTCTTTGAAGAGAAGTTCTTCCCTCATCAAATCCAACCTTTGTTTTGCCTTATGATGGCCTTGGAGTTGCCGGATTCTGTAGACATAGGATGGTATTTTATTTTTTCACAGTGAGCGTTTTCAAAAGCCTAGCATCTTGGCTTTTAGGGACATTTGGATTATCCAGCCCAAGCCTCTGGGTTTACAGCTGAGGGAACAACGTCCAAAGAAGTCAGGTGACCGCCTGTCAGATGGTCAGAAAGGACCCAAACTCACCTTTCCTGGCTCCCATCTCCTTGCAGTGGGGCCCACTGATGTTAAGAGGGAAAGGCTCTGGCTGGTTCAAAGGCTTCTTCACTCCAGAAGAATTTTTACTTCTAATAGGAACGGAGCTCTAAACTCAAATTATATTCCCTGATTCATGGCATTAAATGGCCAGCCCTAGTCTGTTCAGAACTGATAACACGACTTACGGCAGCAAAGGTGGCAAAGGTGTGTGTGTTTGTAAATCCCAGAGATCCCATTAAGCCAAGTCAAAGGAAAATTCATCCCTGCAAATATGTTTGGATATATTCTGTTATTCTATTAACAAATATTTTAGGACATCTATTTAAAAAACAAGAATAGAGGCTTAACATTTCTCCTTTCAGTCCAAGACACAAATATGACATCATTCACTTTGAAAACACATTGATCCAAATTCATATAATGTACACCACCATGACTGAACTGTAAAACTGTAATGTAAACTGTAGACTTTGGGTGATAATGATGTGTCAAGCTCGGTTCATCGATGATAACAAATGTACCATTCTAGTGGGGGATGTTGATAATGGGGGAGGCTGTGCATGCGTGGGGGCAGGGCGTGTATGGGATGTCTGTATTTTCTATTCAGTTTTGATGTTAATGTAAAATTGCTCCAAAACAATATATATATACACATACATATATATCCATGGGTCAAAGACATAAAAGACTTTCAGTTACTATTTTATCATGTCAGGAGCTTGAAAGTCATCACTGTATCCTTAAGAACAAGTAAAAAGCTGAACAAACTGAAAATCACCAGCTTTTGTTAGATCTGTCAAAGAATTCAGGTGAAAGGGTAAACTGCTGCCCCTGAAATTGGAGAAAAAGACAGGTGTATACAGAGAATCACAACTTACCAAAGCAGAAACCCGTGCGTAGAAAGCTCTGTGAAAACCAGTACTAGGGAAGGAAAATCTAAACTCTAATTGCTGAGTTGTTGGAGGCTCAGTGTGGACAAATCTGAGAGTTTAAAAACTCCACAGGAACTCAGCCTTTGTGGGTCTCCTAGGATTTTGTGGTTTGTTCCCAGATCTATCAGTTGTCACACTGAAGATTCTCGGGTATTTCCCTCAAACTTCCAGCAGGGGGACAGGGGAAAGGAACTGTTCTGAAATACGTGATACCATTCTGAAGGGCTACCTCAAGAGAAATTATTTTATCAGAGCCTTACCTGATGGAGTTTTATCAGAGCCTAACACAGAAGAAGGGAAATGCCCCCTAGCCTTCTTGCCCTAGCTAAGGGGCTGTAAAAAAGACGAGAAATGCTTCGGAAATTCACAGCCCAGGGCTCAAGTTCACTAAAAGACTAAGGCCCAAACACAGGACTATCAAAAGCTTCCTCTATGATTATAAGCTCCCTCTCTCCTCACGGCCTCCCACTAAATCACTGAAGGTCTCTTTGCCACTGTTCCTTTCACCCCATACATCATGTATGGCTTTCAACAAAAAATTGCAAGGCAAAAACAGAGGAAGCCCTTGAACCAGATTCATGTATAGCAGGGATGTTCAGTTATCAGGACAAGAATTTAAAATATTAGGCCAGCATTGGCCTAATACCAACACCAGACAAAGACCTTATAGTAAAAGAAAACTACAGACCAATATCTCTCATGAACGTAAATGAAAAAATCCCTAACAAAGGAATAGCAAACTGAACCTAACAATATATTTTTAAAGTGTATATATACCATAAACAAGCAGGATTTACTCTGGGTATGTATGGCTGACTCAGCATTCACTCAATTAATGTAATTCATTACAGCAATAGGTTAAAAAATAAAAATTATAGAATCTTATCAATAGATAGAAAAAAATAACTTGACAAAATCCAATATCATTTATGATAAAAACTCTACACACATTAGGAATAAAGAGAACTTATTCACCTAGATAAATAACATTCACAAAGAACTAACATTATACTAAATTATGAGAAACTAGAAGTTTTTCCGCTTGGATTAGGATTAAGGCAAGAATGATTCTTCTTGTGACTCCTTTCCAACTTCATATTGGAAGTCATAACTAATGTAATCAGAAAAGAAAAGGAAATAAATAGTATACAGTTTAGGAAGATATAAAACTGTCTTGGTGGGTGACATGATTGCCTATGTAGAAAATCAATAACAATAACAAAGAAAACTGGAAATAATAAATAAGCAATGTATAGCAAGGGTACAGGATACAATATACAAGGATATTGGATACAATATCAAGGTTATAGGATATGATATGCAAAAGTCTATCATTTTCCTATGTACCAAGAAGGAACAATTGGAATTTGAAATTTAAAATGTAACACTATTTACATTAGCACCCCTCAAAATAAAATACTTAAGTATGGGACCTCCCTGGCTGTCCAGTGGCTAAGACTCTTTGCTCCAAAGCAGGAGGTCTTGGTTTGATCCGTGGTCAGGGAACTAGATCCCACATGTTGGAACTAAGAGTTTGCATGACTTGCTGAAGAGTTTCTTTAAATCCCATGTGCTGCAACTATGACCCAGTACAACCAAATAAATAAAAATAAATATTACAAAAAAACAAATTCCTAAAAAATTAAAAAACACTTAAGTATAAATGTAACAAAAATGCATAAAATCTATATGAGGAAAACTACAAAACTCTGGTGAAAGTAATCAGAGGAACTAAATAAATGGAGAGATGCTCCATGTTCATGAATAGGAAGACTCAATATTGTCAAGATGTCAGTTCTTCCCAGCGTGATCTATAGTCAATGTGATCCCAATCAAAATCCCAGCCAGTTATCTGGAGGATTCTGACAGACTGATTCTAAAGTTTATAAGAGAGGTGAAAGACCCAGAATAACCCACACAGTATTGAAGAAGAAAAAAGTTGGAGGATTACCGCTACCCTGTGAGGAACTCAGCTGAACTAGAAGAAAACGGCCGTTAAGGCGTCAGAACAGCCGATTAAAGCAAGGGGCTTAACTGAAAGTAACAGTGAAGCTGTTAATCACTTAGAGTGGTAGTATATGCAGGAGGCTAAAACTGGAGAAGATGCCAACTCCCTCCTGCCTCATTCCCCCATAAAATGGCATACCAGTCGAGGGTCAGGTGGATCAGCATGGTGTGTCTCACATAGAGGGAGCCCTAAACAAAAGGCACTGGATGTTCTGTGGGCCCTGAATAGGGGAGGAGAGAGAGGGGGAAGGGTAGGAGTGGAAAATTGCTAAGGTCTGCAAGGAGGTCCAACCAGTCCATCCTAAAGGAGATCAGTCCTGGGTGTTCATTGGAAGGGCTGATGCTGAAGCTGAAACTCCAATACTTTGGCCACCTGATGCGAAGAGTTGACTCATTGGAAAAGACCCTGATGCTGGGAGGGATTGGGGGCGGGAGGAGAAGGGGACGACAAAGGATGAGACGGCTGGATGGCATCACTGACTCGATGGACATGAGTTTGAGCAAACTCCGGGAGTTGGTGATGGACAGGGAGGCCTGGCGTGCTGTGATTCATGGGGTCGCAAAGAGTCGGACACGACTGAACGACTGAACTGAACTGAACTGAGTTTGAGTAGGAATAAATACCTTCAAGGTTTCCCACTTCTCCTCCCCAATCAGGACATATTAGCACAGTCACC